GCAGCTTGACGCAATTTTGCCAAAAATAATTCAATCCAGACCAAGAAAATATTATAGTAGATATAGTCTCCTTTTATTAATAAAAAAAAAAAGAAAAATGGTGATGAATATAAATCATTTGTAGATAAATAAAAAATAATCAATGATGGACCCTTGCCTATGATTGGAAAAGTTACCAAGATATAAAAAGAGAAGAAAAAAAAAAAATGGTGGTAATATTTAGGCATGTTTGCAATCGGATTAGGTCAATTTCTTTTTGGATGTGCAGTAACTGCATTGACTTGTGGTGCTGCTTTACCGATTGGAAAAACTTTTATAACTGGAGGAATATCAGATATGGTCTATTCTGTCACAGCAGCCTGGAAAGGATTAGATATTGATTGGGGAGCCTGGGGATAAAACAAAATGATTAATATTGCATCTGCATTAGTTTTAGCAGGACCTTCTGGCATTAAGGAGGCTCTTGAAATAGGATGTAAAGGATTTTAATCATTATAAAAAATTGGAATTACTGAATTTTTGAAATAAATTCCTCGCGTCACAGTTGATGGATTAAAAAAGGCTGGTTTTTGGTTAAGTGATCTTGATAAAGCAGATATAAAAAATCAATATCAAACTTTGTAATAAATATAAGAAGCCGCTTTTAAAACTGGTAATGTTAATCAACTATTAAATTTGGCAACAGAAGTTTTAAACGATTAAGTATAAAATGGAGTCATTTCTAAAGATACATCTAAGGAGTTATTTGATTTTATCAATAGATGTTTTTAAGAATCTAAAGGAACTGTTGGTGGATTTCAAAATCGTTTTTGTGAAGAGGCAAAAAAATATCTAAAATTATAAATAACCAAAAAAAAAACTAAGAAGTCAGAAAATGAATTAAAATAAGAGGCTAAAGAAATTTGTTCAATATAGGGTAATAAAAAATATCATGGGCTCTAAAGCAGAATTGAAGAATATAAATAATATGAATAAAGACTTAACAATGAAATTAAACAATTTAAAGGGAATTATTAAATTTGTTACAACGAAGATTTTGAACTTTAGAAAAATATTCTTTTATTAGATATTTATTTTGAAAAATAATCAAATCAAAAAGAAATTGATCAAATTATAAAAACTAAAGTGATTTAAAACAATCTAATTTCAACATTCGATATAAATGATGAGGATATTTAACATGAATGTGATGAATTAAAAATACCGAATAAATAATCTATGAATAATTTTTATTAGAAAGTAATAAGACCGTAATTCATGAAGATATGTGAATTGTTTAAAGAAATCTGCAAAAATATAGAACCAATGGCAATCATTTTTAAGTATTAGTATGGAATCCATATGAAAGAGCAAGAGTAAAGTATAAACAATAAGGTATATAATTAATCGACTAATAAAAGTACTTTTAGAACTAAAGAAACTAATTTAATAGAAATTCACATGCATTAAATTAATTAAATTAAGTAATAATTTTATTTAAATGTAGTCTATTGACAATTTCAATCATTAATCTAAGTAAATTGAGGAGAAAATAAATTAGATGAACTAAATAAATTAGGTTGATTAACATTTATTGACTTAAAATATAATCAATGAGTTGAAAAATAAATAATTGATTAAGAATGATGGTATCACAATTTCAAATACGTTTATGACAGAGTTCTAAAATTACTTGAATCACCAAAACTATAATAATTTGATGATTTAGATTTTATAATAAACTATGGAGAGTACTCTTTAAGAATTAGCAATTTTGTAATAAAACTCGCTGAAAAAACTATTTTCAACAGTTTTATTTAAAGTTGTTGAAATAGAAATATTAGATGAAATAGAAAAATACATCTTTAAATCAAGAATAAAGAAGTAAGATAGTATAATCACAAGTCAATATGATTGAATAATCAATATCCAATAAACATTAAAATCATTATTTTCAAAATATAGTATTTATTTATAAAGGCAAAATTATTGATTTTCATTTTGATAATAGTGGAATAGTTAGCAATAATCTATATGTACTATCAATTGATCTAATATAGTTATCTATAGCTATGACGAGTAAAGCTCTATTAATGCAAATAAAAATTTTTAACTAAATAATTTATTAGTGGAAAATCAAAATCAAAATGTCTTTTAGAAAGAAATAACAGAAATGTGGACATTATGAAATTCTACATATATCAAATTGCTATTTAATTTTATCGATTTTTTTTGATAATCTTTATAGAATAGTCTTTTGATATTCTGCAATTAACTAATAGAATAGGTAATTTTATATAATTGTATTATAATAATCGAAATTAATTTAGCATTCTTTATTTCATACTTAAGAAATATCTAATATTAATTATTCAACCAGTCAATTTATTAATAAAAAAGTATTAGCAGATACAACCAATCAACTATTGTCTATACATAAAAATTATATAAAATTATAAATAAGTAATCTTTTTGAGCCTAAATTACAAATTTAGAAACAATATTTAATTATGTGAATTTATCTCTCATCTTCCCCTTAGCATAATCTGAATCTTATTAATTTAGTCTACTTGACAAAAATATTGAATACGTAAATTCTTTCCACAAAATTTTCGAATTTCATCATTTTCTATCAGGCTAGTTCATAAAGTTCGAATGAAACTTAGAATATTTATCTCTAATAGAATATCATTCAATCATATCACAAATCTAATTTTTTATCTAAATTGAACTGAATTTAAAAATTTCTAAATTTCTTAAAGACATAAAATGCAATTTTATACTAAAAGTTAAATAAGAATAGACTTGATTTCTTTATAAAACTTACCATCAATATATGAATTTTTCATTTTGGTAGACTTTATTGTTGTTTAAATACATTTATAAACTTTTTCTAATTTATATATTATTATTTGAATATAAAAAAAATTTGCTTTAAATCA